ACTAAAACCAAAACCACATGTTAGACAATAATAATAATAATAATAATATACTTTAGTCCACTTTTAAAAGTTTCAAACCATCGTGTCTCTATATTTGTTAGTATTTAATTTTTAATTTTTGTCAAAGTTGATTAAATAGTATTAATAATTTAATATCTTTAAAGTTGATTTCGTTGCTGCCGCATTTATCAGAATCGATTAATCTTAATTAATTAATGGATTTCAGAAGTTAAAAAGGCTCGAAACCAATTAAAATATTCTAACATTATTCAAATAGAAAGGGGTGGGGCAGGGGCAAAATCTATTGAACACAAAAAAGTCGAATGATTTTATGCCCATACCTAAGTGACACGATAACGAGCTTCAGAAGTACAATGTATTATTAATTAATAGTTTGATTATGTTAAAGTTGTCGTGTCCTGCTTTTTTAACTGTTCTTTACAAGACAGCCTTAAATGATGTGGGATTTTTATTATTGTTATATGTATTTTAGTAGGATTTTGTTTTGGGGAGGATAGGATGAAACCAATTAAATGTTAGACGAGAGTTGGTACATAACCAGGACAGGGTAAAGAGGGTTTTGGGCCTAGAGGCTCGAAAGCCCATCTGGCCCCAAATCCAGCCCATATGAGCGTTCTTGGGAAGAGCAATAATGTGCCTTTCTCTCAAGTAGGAACCAACGGAAACACTAATCTTTGATAGGAACAAGCAATGCTATAGTGATTGTACCACTGGAGGAAACAAACACGAGAAAAACACGAGGGAGAGCGGGGTAGAATCAACTAAGTAAACAAACAAACACGAGAAAAACACGAGGGAGAGCGGGGTAGAATCAACTAAGTAAACAAACAAACAAATAAAGTAATGCTAAATCTCGTCGAGAGCAAAACTACCAGAATTGAGACTAACTCGATCGAGATTAGAAGTGTTTAGTGTATGGTGCAAATAAAGTGCACCGAAAAGAGTCGGGTTGGGTTAGTTCATCCAACCAGTCAAGAAAATCATCCCAAAAGGGAATCACTTTCTATCTTAGCCGCAACATCTGGTTGCGTCCAATCAGAGAGCACCACGTGTTTGGGCTGTAGGATCTGTTGTCAAAACAACAAGAAAGAAGGATAGCGCTGGACCGTCCGTTTGCCAGTTAAGAGATCCAAGGGCTGGGTGTCTCTGGCGGCAACGATCCACAAATTTCACACAAGGTCATGAGTCAGCCATAAAAACAACCAATAATAACTGATCACGTGTCGCCATTCGCGCACCTAACTGACAGCTACGAGATCCACCGGATAACCTGGAATCGCCGGTCACCAACCAAATACATACAAGTTAGTTCCCTCTTTTTTCTCCCTTGCACGTTCATTTCTTCGCTCCAAAAAAACCCTCCTCAAAGATTCTGCTTGTCTTCCCCACATTCTCTCCTCTTAGGGTTTCGTTTTTCTTCTAATTCTCCGACCACCACCACCACAAAACTGCGAACCTTCTCAATTACGCGCCTCCTGAGAATTCTTCTCTTCTTTTTACGGATTCTTCGAAAAAATTATCGATTGTTCTTTCTTTCTTTCTTTCTTTTCTAGTTGCTCGCATCTCTTTGAGACTTCTCGGACGTTTTTTTTAGTTATTCCACTTGGTTTTCTTTCTGGCTTCATAAAGCCTCTGCCCATTTCAGTAATATACATAAAGCCAGTTTTCCACTTTACTTTATTCGACAACTTTTGGAGGATTGTGATTTCGTCGAGCGATTTTTCTGGGTTTTGGTTCTTCCGCACGATTTTAATATTTGGCTTAGTAGATCCGGTATTTCTCATCGGACGCAAGGGAAGGGTGGCATATATTGCGGATGTTTCCTGGGTTTCTCATCCGTATTTTATAGTTCGATCTGCAGTTTGATCTGGGTGTCCTTGTGTTACTGGTTTCAAGTTATCTGGGTGTCCTTGGACTGGAGGCTGCGACTTTATAATAATTTGGTTAGGTTTAGGTGGATTTGTTCCTCGACTCATTGGTTGATCTGTACTCCAGACCCTGGCAGTAAGCTCTGGAACTTGCCAACACTAGATATTTTTTACTGATCATCACAGTCTATTTACGAGCTTCAAGGTCGGAAATTTGACATATAAGAATTGCATCGTCCTAAGGATGCTGTTTGTGTTTCTTCTGAGATAAGGGTTAAAATCTGCTTTGTAGATAAATTTATGCCTTGGAAGTAATCATGGCTACGGGTATAGATTTTTCACCTCCCTTTGCCCTACTAGAAGGCGGCGGGTACAGTAAGGACAATGTATCAGCGACAAATGACGAAAGTTCTGATAGCTTTAATAGTTTGAAACAGATGACCACTGGGAAACCTCCCCGACACCTCTCGGTTTCGCGGCATAGTGTGAGCTCTATAAAGCTGCTAGACCAAGCTGATTTAGTGAGTAATCATTGTTACATTTTCTATTTTGCGGAGATGCAGATCAATTCATTGCTTCCTTTTGAATTTTGTCTGTAATAATGTCATTTCAATTTCATGGGATGATTTGATGTTTGTGCATTGAGGTATAGTATAGTACAGCAAATATTTAAGTCTAGCTTGGCACAATGACGTTACGGGCATGGAGTTCTGGTTGCTTTCTTTTCCTTTAATAAGTAGCATGACTGGTATTTAAAACATTTTTGTTGTAAATTTTGGGAAAACCATTTACATCTACAGAGCTTGGATGCTGATACTCTTGGGAACAATTCGCCTGATGGGAAAGCAGGATTCTTACCTGTCTTCAGATCGGGTAGCTGTTCAGAAAGGGGACCTAAGCAGTACATGGAAGATGAGCACATATGCATAGATGATCTTGTAGAACACATTCATGCATGTGCAGATTTCACTTCTCCTGGAGCTTTCTATGGTGTGAGTATCCCTTTTCACCTGGATAACATTTTGACCTGTAAATAGTAACATTCTAGGTGCAATGTCCTTCAAAGCTGACAAGTCGTGACAGTAATTATTCATCTGCCTATTACAATAAACCCATTCAATTCGTTAGAAAGATAAGCTTTGGCTACCAATAATTTTGTTAGTAGCAATGCACATGTAATTTCTCTGTTTCAGAAAGTGGTTCTCTTGGATGCGCTCTTTAACGTTGTACTTGGTGGAATTGATGTGTGGCAGGTATTTGATGGCCATGGGGGTACAGATGCAGCAGCTTTTGTCAGAAATAACATCCTTAGATTCATAGTCGAGGACTCCTGTTTTCCAGTTAGTGTAGATAAGGCAATTAAGAGTGCTTTTTTGAAAGCTGATTATGCATTTGCTGATGCTAGTTCTCTGGATATCTCCTCCGGCACAACTGCGCTAACTGCTTTCATTTTTGGAAGGTAGAGACCTCAAATTCTTGGCAGCTCTAATAGGAGTAATGATGGTTTGAAGAAAATTATTCTGTGATATGAAATTTGCTCTATGCTTGACAGTTTAAAAAATGAATTTCTGTAGTATTTGTTTGAGACAGTGGGAAGGAATAGATCGAGGAAATTATAGAGAAAATAACGAAATATAAGAATGATAGATGGAGGAGGAATTAATGGAAGAAATTGGATAAGGGAAGATTCGTGGGAGGTATGTGACACGGATAGAAGCCAAACCATATCATAATAGTAAAGTATAGGTACTAAGACCAAATCATAAGGAAGAAATTGCATTATGTACTAAGACCACATGTATAGAAGCCAAACCATATCATAATAGGAAACATCAACTAAATGGTATTATATGAAAAATATGGCATAGTAGGCTTCAAAGATTAGAATCCAAAGATTCCTGGATTGATGTATGTTACATGAATTATTTAGTGCCCCCTTAGAGGTCAAGTTTCTTGGACTAAGATTTGTTGTTCAAACACTGAATGCTCATCTGTCCAAGTTTGGTTTTAAAAGTCAAACGTGTCAACGCAAATTTTCATTGTTCAGCATGTGGTATTCTGAATCATAATCCAATCACTTCTTACTGCTCTTTTCCTTACAGAACAATGATTATTGGGAATGCCGGAGATTGTCGAGCAGTTCTGGGGAGGAGGGGCAAGGCTATTGAGGTGTCAAAGGATCACAAGCCCAATTGTGCATCTGAAAAACTCAGAATAGAGAAGCTCGGGGGAGTGATTTATGATGGCTACCTGAATGGTCAGTTATCTGTTGCGCGTGCTATAGGAGACTGGCACATGAAAGGTGCTAAGGGTTCTGCATGCCCGCTGAGTGCAGAGCCAGAGCTGCAGGAATTGCAATTGACGGAGGAAGATGAATTTCTAATTATGGGCTGCGATGGTCTTTGGGATGTGATGAGCAGTCAGTATGCTGTTACAATGGCAAGGAAAGAGCTGATGCTGCATAATGATCCTGAAAGATGTTCAAGAGAGCTGGTAAGAGAGGCGCTGAAGCGCAATACATGCGATAATCTAACCGTTATTGTAGTCTGTTTTTCTGCTGATCCGCCCCCTCGGATAGAAATTCCCCAAACTCGAGTAAGGAGAAGCATATCATTAGAAGGGCTGAATTTGTTGAAAGGTGTACTGGACTGCAATTCATGACTTTCAAGGGAAAGAGATGTGGGAGTTGGTGTACATATAACATTGGTTTAGCAGACTTGGCTATGGTCTCTCACCCGACCTACCGATGCCCCTCATCTATTTGGCATTGGATGCTTTATCGAGGACAATAAAAAGGAGTCATGTTGGATTCGATTGTTTTTTTCTTTTCCTTTTCTTTCTGTTTCAATGTGATTTCGAATTCCATGCGTGTACAGATTACTGTTGTACCAGTTGGAAGCCCAAAAATTCATTTGTTTCCCATCTCTCTGCTTATGTATGAAATTCAGAAATTGGTGCAGCATGAACCTTCTCCTGATATCTTTGTACGACAACGAAGCACGGCTTTTATATATTTAGGAGCTGTTTTAATGTGTCTTCAGTTTGTTGTTATTTTTGTTTATAGCACACCAGGCCAGACAACGAACGATAAAAAATAACACACTATATCAATTGTGGTCAATTCCAATTGCTTTCGACAATTTTGCTTGTTTGTCAAATCACCTTTCATGAAGCACTCCATGAGAACTATAAGAGACAAAGATTACAAGTTCACATTAGCCAAAGGGCTGCATAGTAACCACACGAGAATTTCAATGAAGGGTGCAGATTGGATGCCACTGTAAAAACTTTGACAGTGACATGGCCATTCCAAGTATGTGGCTTATGGGAAAGAGCAACTGGTTTATAGCTTCGCTCTCGAGCCTATCTTAAGAATATTTCATAATTCTCCATCTGCTTCGTCATCATTGTCATTCAGCTGAGCACCGCTGCACATAAACAAGGTGGCTACTATTATTAAGTTTCACAAATCAGCAAAGATGGTCCAGAGATGAAAAGGAAAAGGTTATCTAAAACAGTGGCTATGATTTTAGTCATCACCTAGGAACCGCCATCTAAATTCTGAGGTAGGATAAGTTCATAGTATAGTCAATATAGTGTTTATGTAGTTTTGAAAAATAAAAATCATTTTTATGCAAGTATTAGAAGAAAAAAAAAATACTGTTATATGAAATAGTTTAGGTTTGATATTATCATTTTAGATGTTCTAAGAATAAACAATTGTTCTGCTTTCTACATCACGAATACTTGTTTTGAAATCTATCCTAGAAAGAGGTCGTACGGAAAACTATTTTAGGAGGAGCAGCTAAGCAATATAATAATTAATACTATAACCAGCACAGAATGAACATTTTTACCATAAGTTCGACTTCATAGTTAGATTAACATTTGAAAATGATATAAAAGCACTTTTCAGAGAAGCACAAACAGGAAACAGCACAATAAAAATTACCTCGCCTTGCTGCAATGTCTGCTCAAATCATGGCATAGGACTTTGCTAACGTTACCTGCTCTGATAGATCCTTTCTTAATCAACTCTGCCAACTGCAGGTTCATCAATATCAAGAAATAGATTAGATCTGTTCAGAGGAAAAAAGGAAGGTATTCCTTTATGAGGCAAAACATGTCAACTTACATCATCTTCTGCTTCCTCTAATAACCTGTCTCATTAATAAACAACATTAAATTAGTAAAATCATAAATCTATATGAACCAGCTGGATTATGATCGCTGAATTGAATAACCATCAGGTGATATAGTCTCACCTTCCACAATAAGTTGATATGTCTTTTGAATAGGCCCGAGCTTCTTGTTTATCTATAACAATGAAGGCAATGTATATGAATAAAACAAAAAAAAAAAAACAAAAATAACTTCATATGCATATGCAGGAAGGAAGCTATAAATATCAGTAATCTACAAGAATGTGAAATTTTGGGTATGAACAATATCTAAATAAACCCAATCAAGGCCAAAACATATATAAGGCCATTTGTGATACTTGTTTCCAGCTTCGTTTTCTTTACTACTCTATGCATCGGGTGCATGACAGTTAGTTAGCTATAAAACATTCAGCAACTTCTTTTGTAAAAAAAATTATAAAAAACATTCAGCAACTTGAGGATTATTGATTCAGAACTCGTTGAAAGACAGACACTTCAATTTTCCACATACTTGGTAGGTTGTCCCAGTTATCCACCTTGATCCACTGTTGTCCAGTTGAATCTGTCTGCACCAAGAACAGATAAACAATTATCTCACGAAATAAGCTAATAATGTAATTTCTAATCAAAGATTCGGTTTCAAATGAAGTGTAAACACCTGCACTATGCAGATATCCATGTCTACAATTTCTTAAAATGATAGGCCCTCAGACTACTGTTCTAGATTACAATCCACTAAGATCAAACAGATAATTCCAATGAAGTACCTTATCAATCGTGTAATCTTGCATGTTTTCACAAAGCCCATCCAGGAGTTCGACAACTCGTAGCTCACTGACCCTGTAGAAATTTAAGCTCACAATTTACAAATATGCAGTTCATTCATATTTTAGAAACGAACTAGCAACAAAAACATGACTAATTGGGAAAATGTAATAAGACCAATCAGTTTTAATAAACAACAGGTCCAAACTACTTACCGCATTAAATTGAAATGTAAGTCTGTATCTCAATAAGAAAGTAAAAATTTGATATAATTAAAGCAATTAAAATCAGAATTACTACGAAATGGCCCTCTTCTTTATCAAGTAATTACAGTGCAGAAGAAAATTTGCTTCATTTGACAATAAAAGTCTCTGTTCTGCTTAATCAATATCAAATATTTTATAATGCTTGATTAGTGCAATTTAACAGTACAAAGTTCATGAAGTTCATAAATTTCATACTAGGTGGTTCTTTACAGGCCTTTATACAAGCTACTCGAAAAGTTAAGACTGCCGATGCCCACAAAACTCAACTGTAGGTCCTACGTTAGTAAGTGCCAAGAGTGGCCCAACATATATTCCTCCTGAACTATTTCAACAATTCATCTATCTATTTTCACCACTTCATTTAGTAAGCATATAATAAGAAATGTGCTAAACAAGCCAAAAAAAAAGAGCATCCTGAAAATCGGGATGTTGATGTTTTACCTGTAATCAATTACCTTCCCTTTACGCTGACCTTTAGAATCCAACCGATGTCTCATATCTAAATGATTCCTCGGTTTTTCCTATTTAAATATGTAATTACTGGTTGTTACTGAAGCCACTTAAACACTTCAGACCATGTAAAACTGACCAAACCATAAACTCACATCAAACAAAGAAATTTTCTATACAAGTGTACATCGCCTTACATTGGAAAGTCCACGTTCTATCTCCTCCTGGGATCAATAAATACAGAAGTTAGATCCCCTTTTATATATCTATTAGTTTAGTATCAGCGATGTTAAGCGGCAATACGATCAATTCAGCATCAATATGAGCAATTACTAAGATATCAAATAAGAAAATGCAGATATCCACTGAGAAACGGTACACATACAACCAAGTTGTGATCAAACTACAAGGCAATACAACACAGAAAGTTGATGCCACTCGAAAAAACACTAATTGACAGTGATCAGATGCAGGCAGCGCATTACATAGAATAAGCGAAAAGATGAAGGATTCTTAATATTCGAAAACCAAATCAAGGAAGGCAACAAAGAGAATTCAAAGGGGAATTGTAGGAGCGAGAAATTACGGCAACAGCATTGCAGGCGGCGCATTTATCATCAATGCAATCGACGACGCCGAAGTAGATCACTAATAACAATAGAACCCACGCGTTGGATTTCATGGTCGCTTGCGTCTGGTCCAATCGGAGCCTGACTTTCACCTCCTCTCGCCCAACACCTCACAGAGCTTCTCTTCCGTTTGCAAATCTGAAGCGTCAACAAACAAAACGAAGGGAAAAAATGGCGGTATCCTTGACGAATGTATGGGCCTGGCTCGTGGGTTACAGGCCTTCACACAACCGACGCCCACTAGCATATGCCCGACTCCATATTGGGGCTCCATAATGACCCATCGCTTTAAACTCATCTTATAAAGTTTTGTAATTTTTTTGGGATAACCATTTTCATCCAAAATCTCAAAAATTTCATTAATATAATCTATTTGTCGAGCTTATTGTAAAAAGTCGATAATATAAAATAATTGGACAAATTCAAAACAACTTATAAAATTTAACTATATGATCTAGGGCAGCAAATATGTATGTATAGAAATTTATGAATATGGAAAATATATTTATATAAACGGAAGTGTTTTAGTTCAAGCTGAGTTGAGTTTTGAGAATCTGATGAATTGTCGATGAAGGAAATACAAGATCCATCGCTGGATTCCCTGAACGAGTCAGGGGAGGAAGATGGAATTGAAGAAACGCAGCAAGAACAACAGAAGCAAAAACGACAAGAACGAGAAAGCATTTTGCTGCAATTTCTGGATTCGACGGATGATTATCTGAATCTGTTGGATGCATTGTCATCAACACTCCGCCAGGTACGCGAAAATTGATCTCTGCATCAATCAAACCCTTATTCTAACATAAGTTTGTTCAGTGCACTATACTGCTGTAGTTATGATCAACACCTTTAAGCGATGGTATTCTAGATTTTGGATTCCTAAAAAACAAATTGACTCAATTATGCTTCTGAAATGGTTGAAATTGAGGAGGTATTAAGCGTCTGGATATTTGCAATGGAAGAGTCTAATAGGATTCACTTCTAGGACTTGTCGGATTTACCGAAATAATGGCCGTAAACAATTCTCTGCTCGATTTCTAAGAATGCTTACAGAGGGATTGCTTTTATTCGCTATCTCTTAATTTCTTTCGGCTGCGGAAATGCTGCCTCTAACTTTGCGCATCCATTCGAGTAACAGGGATGGTTTGATTTGGCGAGCGCCCGACATTCTATGGGCACCTCTCGCGTAAGCACTGCATTACTGGACTTGAAAATTCATTCTGCTGCTACATCGCTGCGGGTGGAAGAACGCGATGGTAATCTTAATCGCCTCCTCTTCCCAGATATCTCTATTGAAGTTTTGAACCAGTTAGGAAATTGTATAAACAATAAACCATCTTCCGACTATCGCGTAAGCACTGATTTAAGCCTAAACTAGAGAGAGTCTGATTATCATGTAACTACTTGATCTAGTGAACTGTTCCACGCATAATGATAAATGTTCTCTAAACATGCTAAGTTGGCAATAGTCTCACTTGCTAATGATATGTCCACTGAAGGTGGCTCCATAGGAACGCAACCATTCATTAACTTGCGGAAATGGACATCCACTGAAGGTGGAGAGTGCTTGGTGGAAGATAAATACAATGACAAATTGGAAAGGAAATCTGATAATCCTCAGCTACGACAACGGAACATTTCTGAGCTTTCTGGTAGTTGGTCCCATCTATTCATGCTTACAGAATTTTTTAACCCAAGTAATTTCCTCTTTTTGGTTTCTGTTCTTTGGAATGTATGTAAACTCGCTTCTTCTGTTCATTAGAAGATGATCTGGGGAGAAGTTCTACAAAGAAAGAAGATGCTCTCATCATTGATGATCAGGCGAGTGTTGGTTCCATTGACCTAATACTCTCCTTTTATAGACTGGTTGTGGCTTTTCCTTCTTGTTTTACGGTTCATATTTATTTGCTCTGTGATACTGGGATGGTAAAGAAGTGGACACCGACCCACAGTATTTTGATCGTGTTGTGTAGGTACAAAAGGAACGATCTCAAACACTTTCAATGTTTGGAACTCTAGTTTCCCCCAAGCTCCGATCAGCTCAACTTTCATTTGAAAATGGTGAATTTCTCAATACCTGTATTCCTCATTAAATGGGTCGTGCGTGTGTGTGTGTTATATAGTTCAAGAATATGATACTTACACATATTCGCCATTTATTTTTTCGCAGCACTTGAAATCATTGTGGAAATTGCAAATAAACGTTTGGCAATGTCATCTTCCTTCGATCAAGTCAAGAAAGGATTGGACGACGCATCCTCCTTCGAGCAAGTGAAGGAAGAACTGTAAGGCACCGCCGAAACATGACAATCATTTGTTTCCCTCATGGTATATTGTTTTAATTACCTCAAAGTTAGCTATGATGGTTGGTGGGATGATGTCCACAGTACAAATTAACGGACCTGTTTGGTTTTGTCTGTGCACTCTCTCTCACCTCAAAGTTAGCTATGATACATGAACTCTGTATTCTTCAGAGAAGTTGTAGAAGAAATGGATTTTGCACCATATTCTTCGTTGAAAGAAAAACTCGATCTTTGTTTCTTACATCTCTGTGTGTATCCAAGGCATGTTGTGAGTGTGCAAATGGACGTGCGTTCTTGTATCTACCTAGTAGCTCAAGAAAAGTAAACCAAGAGATGTGCGATTTCTTTTGCAAAACATGTCATCATAAACAAACAATGTCATGAAATCAATACATATACCACCACCTTAAGATACAAAAATATGTCCATCCATTTCAAGTTCTTCCAAGCCATAACAACAGACAAAAAATGGCACCCGGCTCACTACAAAGAACAAGATAAGTTGGGAAAACAAGGGAATTGATACAAGTATATAAACTCAAACAGGATTCTGAAGGTTAGAAAGCTCTCCAACTATCAGAACTTTTGTTGGGACTTTGATTCTCTGATGGGGCCTTAAACGGGGCAGAGGACCCAAATGGGTCAGCATCATCAAAAGAGAAGGCACTGTGGCTGAAATCTCTAGAGCTGCCAGCGGAGTCAAACCTGGCGTGCCGCTGGCTGCTCTGGCCGAAGTCCATGCTACTACTGATAGAATCAAACCTTGAAAACTTCTCCTGGTTACGGCCAAAGTCTTGAGAACTGCCTATTGAATCGAACCTGGAGAACTTCTCGCGTTGTGGAGAAAAACTGGGATCCTGCATGCTGAAAGAATCAAACCTGGAGGAATTGTCAAAGAAGTGATCCCCCACATCACTATAACGAGGGGAAGAGGAGTTGCCGAATCTAGAGAGAGGAGTGGGAGGGACAGAATCCTCAAAAAATGGGCTTTTTGTCTGAAAGAAGCTATCTGCATTGGGGGATGCTGTTTTAGCAGAGATCGTATCGAAATCACCGGATCCAAAGATATCCCGGTGCTTTTCAGCGTCTGATTCCTGTGTGATGGCATCAAATATAAAGAGAAAAAAAATAGGCATGGCTCAAATCCAATAATCAGTTCCACACTAGTGAGAATCATTGCCAACTATGATCTCAAATTGAAATATAAGGGCATGCATCAAATTTCCCAACAACAGAAGGGAACATCAATTTTAGAAAACAGTTTCCAATAATAAATCCAAAATAGAATCTCAGCATTTTCATGCTCACCTTGGTATTAACTGGTTTTATTCCCCAAACTGAGTCCACATCGTCATTGTTGTCAAAGGCGCCCCAAGCTGACTCATCGAAACTTCTAATGCAAGAAATAAACAAAAAGGCATAACATAAAAAAGATGGGGCTGTATGAAAGAGCTGCAAGAAATTACAAGTATAAAAAAAATAGGAATCCATTATTACCTATATGCTTCCGGACTTTTTTCATAAACAGGATCCGAAAATTCACGAGGGCTTTCTAGAGATGTCTTTGCAGCTGGACTGCCATATGGACTTCTAGCTGATTCATCTTCACTGTGGCTATACATAAATTCACTCTCAAGGCCATGATTGATGGTACTCGAGAAGATCCCCACTTTGGTTTTGTCATGGCCATTGAACGATGAATCAGGAGTTGAGTTAAAATCTTCTAGATCCTTTTCATCCAGACTACGTGACATTTTTGGTTTTGAGGCAGAAACACGCTTTGGATCGAGATTGAGATCATTGGAAAATCCTGAAAGGTACATTAAGTAACTCATATGAACAAAAATATGAGGTATATCTCCATCAATTTACTAGTAGAAGTTAGCAGACAACGAGACCAGAAACTACATCACTGTAAATCCAGAGAAGTAAATAACTTGTAAAGAATCACTTCTATACCTTCATCTTCAAACTTATCCCACTCTTCATCCCAAACAGCTGCATCATCCGCAATTCCAGGTTGCCAGCCTAATATGTAAAATGTCATTAATTGAAACCAAGATACATCAAGTCACTTTGATCCCATAATGGGTCATCACATCATGCCACAGATGATGTACAATCAGTACAGGAACAAATGTACCACACATTTCCTTAACATTTTTTTTTTTTTTTTTTTTTTTTTAACAACGTTCAGTTAGAAGATGCAAGCACATGCAAAAGGAATCTAGATAGAAGATGCAAAAGTATAAATCTGAGGCTAATGTGAGACTAGTACCTACTGGAAGTTCAATCATAGCAGCCGACTTAACATCAATTCCATGTCTCTTACAACGTTCAGTTAAAGCCTTAAGAAGCAACTCAATATCAGATTGTATTCGATCAGCTCGGACCTGAAGAAGAAAAACATTAGTACTAGACAACAAAACAGAATAGCCTTCGGCAAATTGAAGCACGCAGCTATGTAGCAAAATCATACCTGAAGAATACCATCAGCACTTCCTCCTTGTTCCATTTTAATAATTGCTTCATGCAGCTCTGTCTTCCTTTCCTGGAAGAATGACAAATAACAGGGGATTGTAAAATTACACATGAAACAACAAATCTCAAATGCAGCCAAGGACAAAAACTTTTAAGTGAAAGATGAGCGTATGGCCTTGTGGCTTAAAATGGTTATTTTCCCCTGCAAGCATACCGTTCTGGTCATCAAGCATTATAGACTTCTGTGAGTTTCCTTTTTAATGCATTTAATTAAGTTCGGTCAAAATGCCAACAAATGAATAATATTCACTGATCCTTTATGCTAAATTTTTGCATCAAGTCCATTTAACTACGTCATATTCACATTTTTTTTTGGGGTGGAAATCACATACGTTAGCATAGACAAACATATAAATGAAATAGTATGAGGTAAGTAAATATCCCTATATCAAGAATTGATATATAAAGAACTTGAAAACAAAATAAAGTGTCCCCAAGAAGCTTTCT